ATATGTGTGAAAGGGTCTTAGAAATATCTCAGGGTTCGGGAAGAGGACCACAAGCAGGGCTGCAGACAGTGACACCAAGTTTGCAGATGAGTTCAACAGATTTTTCACCCGGTTTGACTGCCATCACGCTGGCCCCCTCCCTGTCCTCAACTACCCCCCCACAACTCCCCCCCAAGGCTGCTGAGGTACCATGCTGATAAGCTCTGCGAGGTCCTCTGCAATATCTACAACCTGAGCCTCAGCCTGGGGGTGGTCCCCACTTTCTGAAAGACCTCCTGTGGGGTAACGGTTCCTAAAAGGAGCCGGCCCACTTTGGACCCTGACCTCCCTTCTGATGGAGACCATGGATCACCTCGTCCATGCCCACATCTGTACCGTGGTGAGCCCCTCTTTGAAACCGCTGCAGTTTGCCTACTGATCTAACATCGTCGTAGAGCACACCACCATCTACCTGCTTGAGCAGGTGCCTACCTGGACACCACCGTTAGACTCATGTTCTTTGACTTTTCTAGCACTTTCACCACCATCAGAACAGGACTGCTCAGGTGGAAGCTTGAGGATGCTGGAGTTGACAAACATCTCGATGCCTGGAACATCAACTACCTCACCAATGCACCAACTGGAGTATTGATCGGTCATTATGAGGTAAGATCACTGTCAAAATAAACTTGTGCATAAAAGCATAGTTGTGTGCATTTTAGTCAGAAGTTGTGCATAACAAAAATTTGTAAACTCATAATAATTGAAATCTCATTCAAAACATGCAACATACAGTTTAAATAGTTACAACTTCAATAACTAATAAATACAAATTTCAAGTTTAAATTTGTGCTTTATTCTTTATGAACACAAACAGCAGCGGCTGTTTGAGAATACGGATTTTTTCTTTGAGAATACGAATTCACAACAGTGGTCTGACGTCACGGTTTCCAAGGCTGGTTAATGGAGCACAGAGCAGGAAGATAGGAGCCGCGCATGCGTACTATGTGTTCTTTCAACTTAGTAGCGGCAAGATGACGGACCAGGAAGCTACGGAGCAAAGCCAGGTAATGGCTCTGTTCGAAAACCTAGGACGTGTCCTCCAAGGACGCGGTCTACCTAGACTGGATCTTTCGAAGTCCTTGAAAATAAGGAGACCGGAAGAGTTTAGGCTGTGAATTCGAGGTCTACCCTTCGGCGGGTTTTACCGCCGTATGCTCTGTTGCTTAGCAACCGTAAACGTTGACACACAAAGCAGGAAAAGAATGAATACAGAAGTTTTCAAAACTGTTTATTTGTTTCTTTTTTATTGTGAAGTGAACAAAGACTACACTCACAAGAATCCAGAGTGGAATAAAGGTTCCAACCACCGGGAGCAGGAACAAATAAAATCAAATGTAATGATAGAAACCTTAGTCAGTTAAATAACCTGCTGCTGTCATTCTGCACATCTCTGATGTTGCTGCTATTTTCAAATATCCATTACTGTAAAAATGTCCATAGCTGCATATTGGTTATTAATTCTCCAGTTTTATATTGTTAAAACACTTTACAGTATTGTATTGTTTATATTTTAACTCTTCCCTATTATGTTATTCTTATACATTTTTCTAAGGTCCTCATTTGTGTGACCATTTTCAATAATCTTTCTGCTGCTGTAAATCTGCCCATTGTGGGACAATAAAGGGATTTTCTATTCTATTCTATAAAAGGGGTAGAAAGATATAAGTAAATCTAAACAATGTATTTATAAAAAATATATCTGCAAAATCTCTAATATTCAACAACAAAAAATATGTAGTTAAGCATATTGTGCAAAACAGCAATAAAAAGATAAAAATCCTATCAGATTTATAGTTCCCACCCTGCAAATATATTAGAATCTGTCCCTTTTTTGTGCACACATTTTCTATGATTGAACCTAGGCTGATATCTTTTAAAAAGGAATTTAACCAGTTTCACCTTAAATAGGGTGAACAGAGGCATTATAGTTAACCAAATTAAGAGTTGTTTTCAGCTAACCGGTCTTTAAAAACAAAAGCAAACTAGTTTTAAATCAAGTGTCAACTTTTAGTCTCTAATGATGATTCGAAAGTGTTACTGTTTACTTTAGCTTCTAGTCAGTGGCGGCTGGTGAAAAATATTTTTGGTGGGGCTGATATAGCCTAGTGTATGTCTCCAACTAACCCGGAATAAGAATTCAAATAAACAATTGGACAATAAATACAATTTAACAGTAATGATTTAATTTACTATATAATAACAGTAACAGTGATGATTTGGGTCACTGTGACGGGGTTCTTTGGCCTCCAAGAATCCAGTCTCAGTCGGGTTACCGGTGTTGCTGATTTATTGTGCTCAAAAACTCAAAACAGGGTGCAAAAGAAACTAAACATATACAAGATCCTCTGGGCCTCAGCCTCCCTCCAGTTACCAGCAATGTAACAAAGAAACAGAAAACAAAAATTGTCGCTTTTCTTCCCACAGCCCTCATTAAATAGTTTAAGCCCCTCACCTCAGGCTCTCTTATTTCTGATTTCTTCTCATTAATCAGTTTTGTCCATATATTACCTCCACAAACAATTGATATACAAAAACAAATAATTTTTACAACTTAATTCTTTTACACAGATTCATTGACTTATTCAATTACACCAAACTGGGTTTGAACCCAGCAAAGACGCAGCCAGACTGAAGATGACAAGTCCCCGCATAAACACGTACACACCCACACCCCCCACACACACACACGGCTAACCCCACTGAAATATTAAGTGTGCACCCTCAATACGCCAGCAGGTAACCAGGAACAGCTTGTGTGTTTTAAGTTCATGGAGCTACTGATCTCAGCGCGAGTGTATTGGTCCTCACAAACACAGTATAACAGGAATGTGTGTGTGGCGCGCAAAGTTAGAGAGGTTGTTTTAAGCGACGAGGTGGATTCGTCACAGTCACAATAACCATGACATGAAATGTTCATATCCTACAACAGGGGTGTTCTTCTGGCAAACGGGTAGATAAATAAGGATCTCACCTAATTTGGTGGAAGCTGCATCTCGCTCGTTACATTCGTCATCTTCCCTCTAATTGTCTGCACCTGTTCTTGGGTTCAGAAGCCTGTTAAAGCGCAGTATTTTCAGCGCCCCAAGACCATAAAGTTCCGAGACGCTGATTGGCCATTAAATTCACCTAGCAATAGTACATGATTGACAGATTCTCTGCAAATGTGGGGCTGTCTGATCAGCGCCCCCAGAACAGAGACGGTAGGAGTCTGTCTGGGAAAATCCACAAATGAATGACAGTAGATAGGGAAATGTAGTTTATATAATTTGTTTTGCTTATAGTTACACAGTCTAGAGAGTAAAACTGACATTTATGAGTTAATTTCTAAAAATATATTTTACGTTTCTCTCTTCTTATCAGGGAGGGCGGTGCCCCAGCGCCCCCTATGGGCCGGCCGCCACTGCTTCTAGTGTTTTTTTGCACATTAAACCTTTCTCCAAGAGGTTAGCACAACATTGGACGAACTTTCAGCTGCAATGGTGGCAAACTTTTGGTTGGAGAACAACTGCTTTTTCGCTTATAAAGTATAAAATCTAAGTATATAATCATTGGTTTTTCAATGCTTAAGTTTAAAACGTAAATCCAATTGCCAAAAGGTAGTGTTTTAAAAAAAATCATACAATATAGTACAAATACAGCATTATTTTAATAATTTACCACCTCTAAAATTAACTTCAACCTGTTATTTGTAACAGGTTAGAAATAACATTTTATCTACTTATGCCAGACTACACTTTTCAGACAAATTACTTCTATACTAATATAATAAAAAGCTATCCACATTTTGTCTTGTATTTTGAATCTGTCTTTATACCAATCTGTGAACAGATATTAGCTCAGCCATACAAGTACATAAACAAACGGTATTTTTCATGTAAAATTACACTTTTATTTCATGATTCCTGACTTTTTAAGTTGTCAATCTTGTTTTTATTTTGATCTAACAGAAAAAAAAGGATTGAATTTGTGCTGTCTAAAAAGTAACTAGTCAATTTTTATGTTTGCAGGAACCACTGCAGAGACATGTAATGGAACGCCTTCTCTCAAGAATTAATGAGGTTCTAGACCAGCCAAATTTGGATTTGGACTATTTCCAATATATTGTAAATCAGGAGGTGTTTATTTTAACATCTGCATCAACTGTTCTTGATATACCCATGGATGTTATGGATTGTATTTTAACCCTTCAAAGAAAGATCCATGATTCTCAAGAATCATGGATCTTCTTTCTCAAGAAGAACATTGTGTTCTTACCACAGAAGTTTCTAGTGGACGAGTGCGACCCAAATTAGAAGTATCTGAAGACCTTTTGGTCCATTTAATAGACATGTAATCAATTATTTGGTTAATTACAGCCAACACTTTATTACTTATAGCCAGTATTTGACATACTGTGATGGAGAGCAGAGGCTCCATCCCTATTAATTGATATTTATTTATAGAACAGATAGTTTGTTTCATTTCATTATTTCAGTTTGTGTTGTGTTAATTGGGATTTATTTATAGAACAGATAGTTTTTGTTTCATTTCTTTATTTCAGTTTGTGTTGTGTTAATTGGGGTTTACCTTCCTGGTGTGTCTCCTTAGAAGGGTGGAGCATACCATGTGAGCTAAGAAGGATAATACTCTAAAGTTAAGTTATATTAAGTTTGATTTCATTTCTTGATTGACTTTAGGATTTGTTGTTTCTAAGTTGCATGCATGTAAATATTTATTTGTACTCTTTATTTTGTGTTGGGTTTGTAAATAATTTATTGTTGTTTTGTCACCCCTTCACCTGGTGTGGAGTGGGAGTGGCCAAAAAAGCTAAAGCCAGCTGCTGTGTTTGGCAGGGAAAAAATGGGTGTCGGTGTATTGGTGAACTGCAGCACCAATAAAACATATTCCACCAAGTCTTGTTGCATTGCCTCACCTCCTTCTAACGCAGTGCCGCCCTCGGAGAGTGACACATACATTCTCAGGGGAGCTGCTGAGATAAATCATTTCCTCTTTGCAGCTCTTGATGTGAAACGGAAGAGCTTGGAGTGGTACCATGTTGTTGCAGGTGGTGCATGGAGCTTTAGGCATGTTTTCAAATTCTTTTGCATCTGGTGGTAATGGAGAAGTTTCAATTTGTTCCTGTAGAGGAGTTATGTACAGTGTACATTTTCCATTTCCACTCACGGTCTTCAGTTGGTGCCCACTATAACCATCAGAATCAGGAGGAATAACAACTAATCTGCGCTGCCCACCACCACCTAGAAATGTTAAACATTTACAGACATCATTTACTCAACTGTATGCACATTCACGGAGTTAAACTGGTTGTATAACATGAGTTTAACAGTTTATGTTTCATTACAACATACCTGTAGACTTGTATAGCAACCAGCCACCATTGATGCTTGCAAGCCTTGGAAATGCATTAAGCAACAAATCTGTCAGCTTATACAAAAAAAGTTCAGTTACTAGTCAATATCATACATATAACAAATACAATTATTTTCTACATTTTCTATTCCGTAACCCAAGGAGAGATCACTGATTTGGAATATATATAATTATATGGGGAAATTCAGCCAAGACATCGGCTCATTCAGTTATCACAGGATGCAGAAAAAGTCAGTGGATAGAATAGCTCCAACACCAAAAAGAAACAAAGAAAGAAAGAAACAGATTATAGTTTAGTCTACTATACTTAAAGGGATAGTTCGGTATTTTTGACATGAACCTGTATGGCATCCCCATCACCAGTGGCATGCAATCACACTGACTTACCCCTGGCAGCATCCTGTGAGCAGAGTTCTCGTCCAGTTTTGGTCAAGCCGAAAGTAGTCCGGCAGGTTTGCTAGACCCAGCGAAATAAAACGTTTCTCTTCCCAAAACATTATGTGTTCAAAAGAGTGATATTTTTGCATCCCAAAAACGTTGTAGTGGAGAAAGTCACACGTCGTTATCACTTGGTCCTATTTTCTCTCTGTTCGTATCAGTGCGCGCCGTCATTCAGACAGCGAGCTCAACAACAGCCAGATGCATGTCTCCCTCCGCCTAGCTCCTAGCTGGGCGGAGGGAGACATGCATCTGGCTGTTGTCAGGTTAGTAGGCCCTAGCTGTCTGAAGAAGAATTACCTCTGTATGTGTTAAACTCTCTGTTACTAAGAGAGAACATTTACCCAGACCAGCCAATATAAGCTGGAGTTCTTCGTCTCCTTTGGGGGTTTTGGAACGTTGTTTCTCAAGGAGAAAAAAGTTCCCCAGAAAACGTTTTTTTGGTCGGGTATATGGTGTAAAACGTCTTTTCCCTTTTGTCTCTCGGCGAAAAAGTCCAGAAAATGATCTGAAAAAATGATGATGATGATGTTTATACAGCTTATTTTATTCAATATCAAATTTAAATTGACAGAAATGCAGAAGATCAACACAGACCGCAGGCTTGCTACACAGGCTGACTAAGATGAAACTTACCGAGCCATTTCTTGATGAACTGAACCACTGCGCTGAGGACATCTTAGCTGTCCTGACTGTGGACCTGTCTCTGTTTGCCTCGACTGTCCCTCAACAGACTGTCTTTCACTTTCTTGTGCAACTGGCCTCACAGTCCCTGAAGAGCCTAACCTTCGGTTTAATAATGACACAAGACTGTGTGCCGTGTTTAGGATATCCGCTAACTGTACCTAACAGAAAGTTCAATAAAGTTAGATGTCTGAATATCAACTACAGACATAAAGATTTAAGTTACAAATGTTAAAGATTACCTGGCTTTGCTCCGTAGCTTCCTGGTCCGTCATCTTGCCGCTACTAAGTTGAAAGAACACATAGTACGCATGCGCGGCTCCTATCTTCCTGCTCTGTGCTCCATTAACCAGCCTTGGAAACCGTGACGTCAGACCACTGTTGTGAATTCGTATTCTCAAAGAAAAAATCCGTATTCTCAAACAGCCGCTGCTGTTTGTGTTCATAAAGAATAAAGCACAAATTTAAACTTGAAATTTGTATTTATTAGTTATTGAAGTTGTAACTATTTAAACTGTATGTTGCATGTTTTGAATGAGATTTCAATTATTATGAGTTTACAAATTTTTGTTATGCACAACTTCTGACTAAAATGCACACAACTATGCTTTTATGCACAAGTTTATTTTGACAGTGATCTTACCTCATAGGTCATCATGAACTCATCATCAACAACAAATCCTGTGGATTTGGTGACATTAAATCATTATTTGCCAAAGTTATGAGAGGGAAATCGTATATTTTAACCACCTGATATAATCTGTTTCCCCTTTGATGATCTTTATGAAATTTCTTTTCTGTTTAAATGTTTATCTAACAATTTACAAATATATTTCAAGAGAAAAGTTCAAACCAAAACAGCTGGACTAATGTAATGCTATTCCAGACATTTTGAATTAAGAATTGACATATTTTTATTAACTATTTAAGATTTAAAAATATAAAATAATAAATGTTTCAAACATAATATGGAAAAATAATGACAGTTTCACAGGATTTGTTTAATTTTTCCCATGTTATGGGGAAGCAGATTATATCAGGTTGCTAAAATATATGATTTCCCTTTCATAACTTTGGCAAATAATGATCAAATGTCTCCACAGAGCTTGTTCAATTCAGTTTATTTATATAGATTCACAACACATGTCATCTCAAGGCACTTTACAGTTCAACCAGATCATACAGTCAAATTGATACAAAGTTTTCTGTCTAAGGAAAACCAGTTGATTGCATCGACTCATTGACTCAAATACAATCCCTCACACTAAGCATGCTTGTAGCGACAGTGGAGAGGAAAAACTCCCTTTGTTGTTGTTGAAGAAAGAAATAAACAGTTAAAGACTTGCAGGTAAATGAATTTCTTCCAATGTTATGGAGCTGGAATTGTTATGTGTGATAGCATGTAGTATACTAGAAATTTATTTAATCCAAATTAATTCTTTAATCTGTCATATTTTACATTAGAACGTGATTTACCAGAAAGTCTACACGCTCATCTTCACCCTCGGGGCTAAGCCCCTGATCTCCTAGAATCCTAGATCCTCCCCTGGTGTTCACGTCAATAATAACTGGATTTAATGATCACATTGAATCACATTTACTGTAAAACGACTTCAGCCAAATAAAAAATGTCAGTTAGCAGAAGTTTATTCTCAAATAACATTTTCTTCCTAACTAAAAAACAGAAACCGAGCCAGATCACAGGTTAATTCCAAACAAGTCAGATAATTATTCAAAGGATGATGAGCTGCCTGCAGACAATCACAGGACCATAAACAGCTGCATGAAGATGCGCCTAACTTTGAAATGATTGCAAACTTGGCTCTGTTGGCGGACATCCCAAATGAAATAATGAGGATCGAGTCTATAAGCATTGAAAAATCCAAGAATATTTCGGTTATAATCTACATTAATCTGTCTGGAACAGACTGAAACAAGGGTTGTAGACCCATTTATAATGAGTCTGATCTAATAGTTTATATTCCTCCTGTCGCCTAATGACTGCTGGAGATGACCATAAAGCAAAAGGTGGATGTTCCTCAGTAAAGATATCTGTAATGACTCAGTTCTAGTTTTCATGTAAGGCTCTCCTGCCCTCTGGTGGTAATCTGTGAACTCTACACATTGTTCTGTTTAATTTGTTATTCTAAAGCATCCAGCAAACTTTTATCTGTTTGTTTTCTTCTATATATATCATGCAGTAATGCAAATAACATAGTAGTATGTATTATTGCTGCATCATAGTAGTGGAAAGACTGAATCATAATAGATTAGATTTCTGCTAGATTTTCTATCCTCTTCTAGAACACTCAATATAACCTGCCAAGATTGTTGGTGTATATATATTTTAAGAGAAACTTGTGTCTAAATAAAATCTGGAAAACCTTCCGTCAGCCTTAAATTCAAGTAAAAAATAAAAATATTTGATCTAGATCCCTGCAGTTGTGCTTAAAGGCTCTGTTTGTTAGGAAGCTGCTCTGTCGCTGCTGAAGGTGTTTCCGATATGACTGATTAAAAACATAATAATAACCCACAGCTGGACATGATGTTTTGATTCAGTTTATATTTCATTAATTGGTAGGAACCAGAGTCAGGGATTTGGAGGTAAAAAAAAAGATTTTAACCTGATAAAAACCAAAGTTGCTGCAGATGCAGAGTCTTAAGAGTAATCAGGAAAAGAGAGAAAGTTAAACTTTAAAATAAAGAACAGAAAACCTAAAGGAATTACAACAGTGTATTTTAGGTCAGAAGAGCTGGGATTAGCTTTTCTTTTGTTTATCAGAGTATGAGCACAAAAATTAGACATATTTTAGCCCTTTAGGGCTGGTAAATCTGCAATGTCGCGTAAACTAGGAAAAATATATTTGATGTATTACCTTTACACAGAGGGCAGCAATTCAAAGTAGGAGCTGATAATTGGGATCACGCCCATCGACAGGGAGGGACAGGTCAATTGTCCCAGGCCTAGGACAGACTCGGACCATTAAAAATACAGGCTCCCCCCACCCCAACATAAAATGATTTAACCAGGACAACGAAGGGCCGCAACTTTTATAGTTCGTTTTGCTGCAAACTAAGAATGTCAGGTTTTCAGAAGTCCAGGGAACAGCAAAAAAGAGAAAAGGAAGATGAAACCAAAGGCTTGAGTAAATATCAAAAAATAAACTGAGGATGAGTCAGGAACAGGTCCAGGAATGGAATTGCAGAAGAATGATGTCCAGTGTGATTTTAAAGTATAGAGAAAGGAGCACAGGATAACCTCTGGGGGCAGGGTGGGGAACAGTGTGTGTTTGAGGAGACAGAGAGAGGCATAGTGACTCAGAGATTAATCATGCCATTAATTTCAATGATCCTGTGCTGTGGCCAACAAAAATGAATGTTGTGAGTTTAATAGCAAAAAGGAAGCCGTTCTTAGAGATGGCAAATGAACTGCCAGCAGATTCAGAGGGCAAAAAGACTGTGTTGTCCTGAGCCCTAGCAAAGCTTCAGCTCTCAGGATTTAATTGTTCAAACAAAACCACATAACTTTAGTGCATAGTTCTTCACAGCTGTTCAAACATTAGCGTTGCAACGATGCCATTTTTTGGCCCCGATACTGATACCCGATACCTGGCTGTGCAGTATTGGCCGATACCGATAACATCTGTTCAAAATTTATGTGTGTGTGTATATATATGAAGAGCTGCATACTACTTGCATGTAAAATAATTGCCATCATGGCTTTATCAAGCTGCCGCCTACCTTTGTGAAGCAGGAAAAAGACTAATACAAAGTGAATCCAGTAGAACTTTTTATTGCCTACCTGCAATGGGTAACAATAGAATGAACTTGCCTCTCAAAATGGTATCGGTGCCCTATTTGTTGGTACTCGCCCATACTGATACCAGCATTTTAGGCTACGTACACACTGCAGCCTGAAGTGACCCAATTCCGATTTTTTTACCCATATGTGACCTGTATCTGATCTTTTTATGACAGTCTGAACGACACAGATCAGATTTTTTCAAATGCGACCCAGGCCACTTGGATATGTGGTCCTGAATCCGATACGTATCTGATCTTTTTAAATGCGACCTATGTCTGTACGGCCAGGTCGCATTCATCCGACCTACACGTCATTGATACTTGACAAATGTTACTAAACGTTACTAATCTGCGTCCTACTAAGCGGAGGCGGGAAAAACTAACAACCATGGCGGAAGATAACACAGAGAGCAGTCAATGGAGAGAAAGTGAGGTTGCTGACTTAATTCATATTTGGAAAGATAGCTCGATTCAGACCAAACTCGAAGGGTCTTACCGGAACCTGGCTCTCTTTCTTTTTGAAATTCTTAAAAAGATTTAGTTCGTAATGTGCCTGCTCCTGTTGGAGAAGAACTTAAAGAACGCAATATACGCTGCGGTATTACGAGTCATGTTTGCTTCCGCAAACACTGAGGACGCTTGCTACATGTGACGTCATCGCGTCCTCGAGTGCGCATGCGGGACACTTCGGTTGAACGCTTTCAGTTCACACAGTAGATCACATACAAGTCGCATATACTTGGAAGTGTGAACGGACACGCAAAAAAATCCGATTTCACAAAAAAATCGGAATTGAACATTAAGGCCTGCAGTGTGAACGTAGCCTTAGTGCTGGATCGGGCCCCGCCCGATACTGGTATTGGCGCAACACTACTAATCATAGGTTAACTGTTGGGTAAGTTTTGCTCCAAAATGCAG